TTTCTATTTTAGGAATATTGTTCAGCCCTTGTTAACATGAAAAAGAAAAATAAGATAATGTGCCAATCTTAATCAAGGCCTCGGGCCAAAATCTTCTGATTCTTCATTTGAAGTCACGGGCCGCTAAAAAATCCCTCAAGGGCCGCACTTTGGACACCCCTGCTCTAATGTGTTGTGTTGTTGTTCATTTAAATCCAATAATTAAAAGAGACAGGAAGTGAAATGATCATCACGACGTCTGCTTGTGTGAATTAAGTGTGAATAAACGACATCTCATTAACACGCACCCTGCTGCTGCTGTTCTGTTTCCTGCCGAAAAAGATGCTCTGATTGTTTCCTGACTCTGTGGGTGATCCTGAACGCAACATGTCTGTAACAAGTTATTTATGTTTGTAGATTAAATAGTGAGTAATGTTGCTGTGTGACCACTAGAGGGCTCCAGAGGACGTCATGATGAAGCCAGATTAATGAGGTCTTTATTTACTTTTTAAGCTTCAGAGGTGATCTCTGATTCTTTATTTTAATGTTGACATGTTCACTTATTCCTCCCAATCTTACTGTAGATCATTTTATGTAAAAACATGGTACATGTATCCAGGGGCGTGTCCAAACTTTTTAAACTGGTGTGGCCTCCCAGGTTTGTGACTCATGAGGAGAGCCGGATGTTCTGGCTCTGCTGATGATTTGTTATGTTGCGATGCATAACTGGTTTTGACTTTATTCTACCTGCTCAGGTGAGACAAAGACGATGAGTAGGTTTGAATATTTAATCTTTATTTTCATGTTTTGGAATCATTATTGTCGCTTTTTAGTTATTACGTCATACTCTGCTTGATTGTTTGCTTGTTTGTTTGTTTTGGAAGTCAATATGGAGTCCATCCCGGATCTGATCAAGAAGAAGAGAGACGGAAAGGAGCTGTGTGACCAGGAAATCAAAACTTTCATCCAGGCCGTGACGAACAAAACCATTCAGGAATGTCAGATCGGTACGAAAACTTTCAACGAAAAGATTCAACGTTTCCCTGAATCTGATCTCATTTCATCACCTGCGTTTTTTCTCGTCAGGGGCCATGCTGATGGCAATCTGGCAGAAGGGGATGGTCAACACGGAGACCACGACTCTGACCCGAGAGATGATGTCATCGGGGGAGGTGATGTCATGGCCAAAGGAGTGGGAGGGGTGTGTAGTTGATAAACACTCAACAGGAGGGGTGGGAGATAAAGTCAGTCTGGTGTTAGCGCCGGCGCTAGCTGCCTGTGGATGCAAGGTACACAACCACACACACACACACACACACACACACACACACATGCTGTTTGTTGATTTTCATTTACTGCATAAAATAATTGAATGTAGCCTCTGTGATGTCAGCTATGTTCATATTTTCCTCTGACGTCATCATGCACTTTTCAGCTATTTCAAGCTAACTTGAACTACAAAACAACTGGCGCTGCATTGTTGTGTTAGCATGCTAATGCTAGTGATCTTTATTATGCTGGTATCTTCACACTGCATGTAAATTTACCTGAAATGAGCGTGATCTAGAAACACAGTTAAGCAGTGAGTACAGTATGTTATTCTTCTTTTCTCTAGTCCCTCAATTAAACAACTTTTATACACAAGGGGAGGAGTCAGCCGGCCGTCCGGGCGATGTAAACAAAGTGAAGATAGGACTCTGAAAACTCTGAAAACATCACAGACAGTGGGACTCGGGTGTTACACCCATTGTAGACAGTCATGACTCACAGAGTTATTTTCAGAGGAGATACTTGATTTCTACATTTAAGTGTGAAAAATCACAAATGAAGACTTAAATGAATGAATGAAGTGAGAAGGCAGAGCACTTTATCATAGACTTCTATACAATGGGACTTCTTTCGCCCCTACTGGCCATTAGAAATGCTGCAGGTTTAAGACACTTCAACACTGTCTTCCCTGATTAATCCAACGGGCTTTGTCCTGTTCTTATATAGAGTCTTATATGGTCATTTCTTCTGTGATGTCATAACACTGCAGGAGTGTGTTTCTGTCTGATCAGGTGCCTATGATCAGTGGGCGGGGCTTAGCTCATACAGGAGGAACTCTGGATAAACTGGAATCAATCCCGGGATACAACATCCACCAATCAGCGATAAAGGTGACACAAGAAAAAACAACAACAACAACGCAGATGCTAAAGCTACACATGAGCTTGTTAGCATGTTAGCATTAAGCTAATAACAATGGCTTACCAAAGAAACCGTTGTTTACCGTTTACAATGTTTAAAAGAAGAGGTACTACCTGGGCAGATTGGATCTTTATACCACTCACACTAAGAATCATCTGTTCTGAGCAGCCTCGAGTCATGAACACTACTCTGACAGGAAGTGGGAAGCAGACCTCAAATAAACCAGATTATCCTGTAGTTCAGAAGTAGATTTACACTTTGTGGCACATTAAGCTGCCAAAGATAGAACCAATGAACAAAACCTGGGACAGAGTTTGACTTTGAGGTTGAACAGTTCAGACAGTATCTGTACGTCTGTATTGAAGTCATTAATAGAAGTTTACTCGTGCAGATTCGGGAGATCCTGGAATCGGTGGGCTGTTGCATTGTGGGTCAGACGGAGATGTTGGTTCCTGCAGATCGAGTCCTGTATGCCCTGCGGGACGCCACCAGCACTGTGGACAGTTTACCCCTGATTACTGGTACTGAACTACTCAATATAGGATGGAATAATACTATTAATTTATATTAAAACATGACGTTGTTTTCATTTCAGGATCCATCATCTCAAAGAAAGGTGCCGAGTCTCTGTCCGCTCTGGTTCTGGATGTGAAGTTTGGTCGAGCCGCTCTCTATAAAGACCTGCAGAGCGCTAAAGAATTAGCCCAGTCTCTCGTAAGGAATAAAACATTGTCATATTATTCATTATACCTGTCAAGATACCTGTCCAACAAAGTGATTACAAACAAGCTGCAGGCCGACTCCACAGGCGCGCCCAGATGTTGTTTTTCACATGCACTCAGTTGTTTTTGGAGCGACCGCGTTTATGGTGACGGTTATTTGTGTGATCAGGTCCTTAAGTCAAGATTTATCCACAGGAGGCGCCAAAATCGACAGAATCCAAAAGTTCCTCACAGGAGCTTTAATTACTAAAACAAATGAAACTGTTGTTATAACTTTTATTTAATGGTTACTGTGTGACTAAAGGTGAATGCAGGAAATGGCCTGGGCATGCGTACAGGGGCGGTGCTTAGCTGTATGGACGCTACGATTGGTCGATTTGTAGGAAACAGCCTGGAGGTGATCGAGTCTTTGGAGACGCTGAAGGGAAGAGGACCCGACGACCTGATGGAGCTCGTCACGACTTTGGGTAACGGCAGGACCTGACATTAACGAACGACATTAAATCATTAAGTTAACTTTCTTTTTTTCTTCAGCAGACGTTTGAAAAGTAATGTCGATTTTATTCTTCACTCGTTTTGTTTCCGTCTCTTCAGGCGGCTTTTTGTTGATGACGACCGGCTCGGCGTCCAACCTATCAGAGGGCAGAAAGAAGATTTCTGAGGCTGTGACTGGTGGAGCCGCTCTGTCTAAATTCCAGGCCATGATGGAGAAACAGGGCGTGGCCAAAGAGATGGCTCGCTTGCTTTGCTCCGCCCACTCAGATTACTACAGCGTCCTGAGAAAAGCCAAACATCAGAAGGAACTGAAGACATCAGCAGAGGGTAAAACTGTCACAAGACACAACACAACATTCAAACTAAGCCCCGCCTCCTGGGCTCATCACCACCAGAAGCCACGCCCACTGCAGTACGTAGTGTTTAGGTTTATTGCGTGCAGCTTGGTACGGTGAAAATGGTGCCCTGTGTGAGTGCACGCCAAGTTTGGTCAATTTTGGGGGTGTGTTATACGTCATTTGGACAAATTCATTAATCTCTCCGCTTCCTCCTGCAGGTGTTGCCGTGGACTTCGACGGTTTGGTGCTCGCTGAAATTCTTCACAAATTGGGGGCGGGGCGATCAAAGGCCGGAGAACCTGTCAATCACAGCGTGGGGGCAGAGCTACTGGTGTCACTCGGTCAGAGGGTTGTGAAAGGTAAGAGATCGATGATGATGATGATGATGACGGTGAGTTCAAGGACCTTCTCTGATGTCTGATTTGTGTAATTTCAGGCGAGCCCTGGCTGCGGCTACACTACGAGGATCCCGCTCCGACCACAGACCAGATCAGTCGACTGCAGAGCGCGCTCACTGTGGGGAAATACGACGACGCACAAACACAACACAAAATGTCATTAGTGAAGGAACTAATGCTAAACTGAATATCCAGACTCCCTTCATGTTTGAATCTTTAAAATTTTAATCAAGTAAGAAATGTTATGATTAACAATTTTAACGGCAGATTTTAACACAACAAAAGCCCAAAAATAATAAATGTGAAGCTGCAAAACTACAGTTTAAAAGTATCCTCTAATGCAGTGGTATCCAAACATTTTTTCTTGCGGGCCAAAATAGTCGTGTTAGAATCGCTGGCGGGTCACAGGTTTTGTTTTTTAAAATATAGTTGAAAAAATAGTCAGGCTTTGTAGATCAGAATCAAAAGGCTCGCTAAAGATACCCTTTAATAAAAGGAAATCAAATATTTTGATTTCTTCGTTCTAATTTATTTGTTTTTTTTCTCAGAATCAAGTCTGTAACGTGGTTCATTTTAAAACAAAAAGCTTTCTGCATTTAGCTCAGGTCATTAAATGGTTAAACAACGGTCCGCTTTGCATACGTTTTTTTTTCATAGTTTACAAAAAAATGTGGAAAATAGTAAAAGCTGTAGATTTAAAAAACAACAACAACATACATGTCACTGAACATTTTCTATTTTAGGAATATTGTTCAGCCCTTGTTAACATGAAAAAGAAAAATAAGATAATGTGCCAATCTTAATCAAGGCCTCGGGCCAAAATCTTCTGATTCTTCATTTGAAGTCACGGGCCGCTAAAAAATCCCTCAAGGGCCGCACTTTGGACACCCCTGCTCTAATGTGTTGTGTTGTTGTTCATTTAAATCCAATAATTAAAAGAGACAGGAAGTGAAATGATCATCACGACGTCTGCTTGTGTGAATTAAGTGTGAATAAACGACATCTCATTAACACGCACCCTGCTGCTGCTGTTCTGTTTCCTGCCGAAAAAGATGCTCTGATTGTTTCCTGACTCTGTGGGTGATCCTGAACGCAACATGTCTGTAACAAGTTATTTATGTTTGTAGATTAAATAGTGAGTAATGTTGCTGTGTGACCACTAGAGGGCTCCAGAGGACGTCATGATGAAGCCAGATTAATGAGGTCTTTATTTACTTTTTAAGCTTCAGAGGTGATCTCTGATTCTTTATTTTAATGTTGACATGTTCACTTATTCCTCCCAATCTTACTGTAGATCATTTTATGTAAAAACATGGTACATGTATCCAGGGGCGTGTCCAAACTTTTTAAACTGGTGTGGCCTCCCAGGTTTGTGACTCATGAGGAGAGCCGGATGTTCTGGCTCTGCTGATGATTTGTTATGTTGCGATGCATAACTGGTTTTGACTTTATTCTACCTGCTCAGGTGAGACAAAGACGATGAGTAGGTTTGAATATTTAATCTTTATTTTCATGTTTTGGAATCATTATTGTCGCTTTTTAGTTATTACGTCATACTCTGCTTGATTGTTTGCTTGTTTGTTTGTTTTGGAAGTCAATATGGAGTCCATCCCGGATCTGATCAAGAAGAAGAGAGACGGAAAGGAGCTGTGTGACCAGGAAATCAAAACTTTCATCCAGGCCGTGACGAACAAAACCATTCAGGAATGTCAGATCGGTACGAAAACTTTCAACGAAAAGATTCAACGTTTCCCTGAATCTGATCTCATTTCATCACCTGCGTTTTTTCTCGTCAGGGGCCATGCTGATGGCAATCTGGCAGAAGGGGATGGTCAACACGGAGACCACGACTCTGACCCGAGAGATGATGTCATCGGGGGAGGTGATGTCATGGCCAAAGGAGTGGGAGGGGTGTGTAGTTGATAAACACTCAACAGGAGGGGTGGGAGATAAAGTCAGTCTGGTGTTAGCGCCGGCGCTAGCTGCCTGTGGATGCAAGGTACACAACCACACACACACACACACACACACACACACACACACATGCTGTTTGTTGATTTTCATTTACTGCATAAAATAATTGAATGTAGCCTCTGTGATGTCAGCTATGTTCATATTTTCCTCTGACGTCATCATGCACTTTTCAGCTATTTCAAGCTAACTTGAACTACAAAACAACTGGCGCTGCATTGTTGTGTTAGCATGCTAATGCTAGTGATCTTTATTATGCTGGTATCTTCACACTGCATGTAAATTTACCTGAAATGAGCGTGATCTAGAAACACAGTTAAGCAGTGAGTACAGTATGTTATTCTTCTTTTCTCTAGTCCCTCAATTAAACAACTTTTATACACAAGGGGAGGAGTCAGCCGGCCGTCCGGGCGATGTAAACAAAGTGAAGATAGGACTCTGAAAACTCTGAAAACATCACAGACAGTGGGACTCGGGTGTTACACCCATTGTAGACAGTCATGACTCACAGAGTTATTTTCAGAGGAGATACTTGATTTCTACATTTAAGTGTGAAAAATCACAAATGAAGACTTAAATGAATGAATGAAGTGAGAAGGCAGAGCACTTTATCATAGACTTCTATACAATGGGACTTCTTTCGCCCCCTACTGGCCATTAGAAATGCTGCAGGTTTAAGACACTTCAACACTGTCTTCCCTGATTAATCCAACGGGCTTTGTCCTGTTCTTATATAGAGTCTTATATGGTCATTTCTTCTGTGATGTCATAACACTGCAGGAGTGTGTTTCTGTCTGATCAGGTGCCTATGATCAGTGGGCGGGGCTTAGCTCATACAGGAGGAACTCTGGATAAACTGGAATCAATCCCGGGATACAACATCCACCAATCAGCGATAAAGGTGACACAAGAAAAAACAACAACAACAACGCAGATGCTAAAGCTACACATGAGCTTGTTAGCATGTTAGCATTAAGCTAATAACAATGGCTTACCAAAGAAACCGTTGTTTACCGTTTACAATGTTTAAAAGAAGAGGTACTACCTGGGCAGATTGGATCTTTATACCACTCACACTAAGAATCATCTGTTCTGAGCAGCCTCGAGTCATGAACACTACTCTGACAGGAAGTGGGAAGCAGACCTCAAATAAACCAGATTATCCTGTAGTTCAGAAGTAGATTTACACTTTGTGGCACATTAAGCTGCCAAAGATAGAACCAATGAACAAAACCTGGGACAGAGTTTGACTTTGAGGTTGAACAGTTCAGACAGTATCTGTACGTCTGTATTGAAGTCATTAATAGAAGTTTACTCGTGCAGATTCGGGAGATCCTGGAATCGGTGGGCTGTTGCATTGTGGGTCAGACGGAGATGTTGGTTCCTGCAGATCGAGTCCTGTATGCCCTGCGGGACGCCACCAGCACTGTGGACAGTTTACCCCTGATTACTGGTACTGAACTACTCAATATAGGATGGAATAATAATATTAATTTATATTAAAACATGACGTTGTTTTCATTTCAGGATCCATCATCTCAAAGAAAGGTGCCGAGTCTCTGTCCGCTCTGGTTCTGGATGTGAAGTTTGGTCGAGCCGCTCTCTATAAAGACCTGCAGAGCGCTAAAGAATTAGCCCAGTCTCTCGTAAGGAATAAAACATTGTCATATTATTCATTATACCTGTCAAGATACCTGTCCAACAAAGTGATTACAAACAAGCTGCAGGCCGACTCCACAGGCGCGCCCAGATGTTGTTTTTCACATGCACTCAGTTGTTTTTGGAGCGACCGCGTTTATGGTGACGGTTATTTGTGTGATCAGGTCCTTAAGTCAAGATTTATCCACAGGAGGCGCCAAAATCGACAGAATCCAAAAGTTCCTCACAGGAGCTTTAATTACTAAAACAAATGAAACTGTTGTTATAACTTTTATTTAATGGTTACTGTGTGACTAAAGGTGAATGCAGGAAATGGCCTGGGCATGCGTACACAACACAACATTCAAACTAAGCCCCGCCTCCTGGGCTCATCACCACCAGAAGCCACGCCCACTGCAGTACGTAGTGTTTAGGTTTATTGCGTGCAGCTTGGTACGGTGAAAATGGTGCCCTGTGTGAGTGCACGCCAAGTTTGGTCAATTTTGGGGGCGTGTTATACGTCATTTGGACAAATTCATTAATCTCTCCGCTTCCTCCTGCAGGTGTTGCCGTGGACTTCGACGGTTTGGTGTTCGCTGAAATTCTTCACAAATTGGGGGCGGGGCGATCAAAGGCCGGAGAACCTGTCAATCACAGCGTGGGGGCAGAGCTACTGGTGTCACTCGGTCAGAGGGTTGTGAAAGGTAAGAGATCGATGATGATGATGATGATGACGGTGAGTTCAAGGACCTTCTCTGATGTCTGATTTGTGTAATTTCAGGCGAGCCCTGGCTGCGGCTACACTACGAGGATCCCGCTCCGACTACAGACCAGATCAGTCGACTGCAGAGCGCGCTCACTGTGGGGAAATACGACGACGCACAAACACAACACAAAACGTCATTAGTGAAGGAACTAATGCTAAACTGAATATCCAGACTCCCTTCATGTTTGAATCTTTAAAATTTTAATCAAGTAAGAAATGTTATGATTAACAATTTTAACGGCAGATTTTAACACAACAAAAGCCCAAAAATAATAAATGTGAAGCTGCAAAACTACAGTTTAAAAGTATCCTCTAATGCAGTGGTATCCAAACATTTTTTCTTGCGGGCCAAAATTGTCGTGTTAGAATCGCTGGCGGGCCACAGGTTTTGTTTTTTAAAATATAGTTGAAAAAATTGTCAGGCTTTGTAGATCAGAATCAAAAGGCTCGCTAAAGATACCCTTTAATAAAAGGAAATCAAATATTTTGATTTCTTCGTTCTAATTTATTTGTTTTTTTTCTCAGAATCAAGTCTGTAACGTGGTTCATTTTAAAACAAAAAGCTTTCTGCATTTAGCTCAGGTCATTAAATGGTTAAACAACAGTCCGCTTTGCATACGTTTTTTTTTCATAGTTTACAAAAAAATGTGGAAAATAGTAAAAGCTGTAGATTTAAAAAACAACAACAACATACATGTCACTGAACATTTTCTATTTTAGGAATATTGTTCAGCCCTTGTTAACATGAAAAAGAAAAATAAGATAATGTGCCAATCTTAATCAAGGCCTTGGGCCGCTAAAAAATCCCTCAAGGGCCGCACTTTGGACACCCCTGCTCTAATGTGTTGTGTTGTTGTTCATTTAAATCCAATAATTAAAAGAGACAGGAAGTGAAATGATCATCACGACGTCTGCTTGTGTGAATTAAGTGTGAATAAAAGACATCTCATTAACACGCACCCTGCTGCTGCTGTTCTGTTTCCTGCCGAAAAAGAAGCTCTGATTGTTTCCTGACTCTGTGGGTGATCCTGAACGCAACATGTCTGTAACAAGTTATTTATGTTTGTAGATTAAATAGTGAGTAATGTTGCTGTGTGACCACTAGAGGGCTCCAGAGGACGTCATGATGAAGCCAGATTAATGAGGTCTTTATTTACTTTTTAAGCTTAAGAGGTGATCTCTGATTCTTTATTTTAATGTTGACATGTTCACTTATTCCTCCCAATCTTACTGTAGATCATTTTATGTAAAAACATGGTACATGTATCCAGGGGCGTGTCCAAACTTTTTAAACTGGTGTGGCCTCCCAGGCACGGACTTATACAGATTGGCGTGACATTTATGGGCATGCGCACGTAAATGAATAACATTTTTTACCTACAGCTCTTTCCAATGTTTTGGACCGCAGTACCAATTTCACACACTAGGTGTCAGAGTTACATATTGCACCTTTAAACCCTACACTTGTTCAAACTAAATATAAGAATATATTGTTTTCTTAATCTAAAATGTTGCCTACAGTTGCTACGGTGTGCCATCCAAGCAAATCGTTAGCCTAAACATCTGTGAATAATTAAAATATAATCATCTCATGAGTAGTTTTTTTAAATGATTTTCCGGATCTGTTTCTGTTTGATGTGAAATATCAGAAACCCCCAGCAGCACTGAGCGTTGTGACAGGCAGCCGACTTCGTCATCATGTGACGCCACAGAGATGAGTCAACTATACAGAGCTCTCACTCTGATACGAGTCCTGGTGCCAACTTTTCTGAGTGATCACTGGCTATGACTCAAGCCCAGAAAAGATTGGCAGAAGGTTCCGGTATAGTTTCAGCTTAAATACGTTACATTTAAGAAAATACACTGGTTTTGAGGATGATAACAGACCACGAGCAATACGTTTAAAGCGCAGGGATGTCCGCTGATTGCATAGACTTGATAGGCGCATCTTCTCGTGTATAGACGATCTTTGGTAAAGCTAGCCGGCTAACTAGTAGCTCAAAGAGACGCCATTAGTTGGGTGAAAACCAGGCTTTCATATTAGGCTGAAAGGGGAACTAGCTCACAGTTCAGACACATTTCCGCTACACCTGTTGGTAGATATCGATGAAAGGGAGATTCGCGTATGTTGTCGAGGTGTTCTTCTCCTGATTTGAGCTGTTTTTCTCAAGTCGGAAGCTGATGTGAGCTGCGCAGGACTTCGTTAGCATTAGCAGTGTTAGCTTGTTTTGGTAAAAAAAGGAGTTCTTGAGTGAAGCGATGGCTGCCGGAGGGACGGGCGGCAGAACCTACTCGTTCAAGGTGGTGCTGTTGGGGGAAGGCTGTGTGGGGAAGACATCGCTGGTGCTGCGATACTGCGAGAACAAATTCAACGACAAACACATCACAACTCTACAGGTAAGGACACCGCACACAGGTGAGATGCTAACTAGCTGCTTGGCTAAGCTGACTCAGAAGCTGTGACAGGTGAAGCACCTGTGTGGTTTATGTGGGGGTGGAGGTGGGGGTGGAGGTGGAGGTGTTGCTGTCACTTGTGAGGGTACGCGTGCTGCGGAGCGCGGGTCGTACCGGAAACGCGCGGTGACGTCACGCTGTTGTCATGACGCCGTTTTTATTAGAAACAGTGAAAATCAAATTATATGGAGACGGTTTGATTCCACAAATCAAATCAAGTTTATTTGTGTAGCACATTTAAAAACATCTTCATCTTTACAGCCAATGCATAAAAATAAAAACATTCATCTACATACATGCAGCATACATATTACACACACACACACACACACACACACACACACACACACACACACACACACATATATATATATATGCACATACATACCCTCATACCTACATGCACATGCATACATACAGATACATACCTAAGCTAAATATATGGGGTCTGTTTCAACTTGTTTTAAATACCAAGGTGAAGAAAAAGGTGAAGAAAAAGGTTTGTAATATGGTTTGTTGAAATGTCCTTAAAATATGATCTCCCATTATTTCAGTGTCGGTACAAGCAGTAAGTGTACACACTACGTCCTGCAGTGTGTGTGAGCTTCTGATTGGTCCTTTAAAGTGCTCTCTGCAGTTTCAGGGTACAGCAGAAGTACGGATGAGGCAGAACAACTTCAGTAAAATACTTGCGGCTGGGTGGCACATACCTGGGGGCCAACCAGCTCCTCAGTATGAAGTAAACAAGGGGGGAGGATCAGAACTACGGGAGTCCAAGGGGAGTCTTTAACGTACTCTCTGGAGGAGTAAGTCAAAGAGAAAATCTGGATTTTCGACAAGCCCAATTCAAATCATCCAGTCTTACGTCCTTACTAACGGAGGTCTCCACTCTGTATGTGCGTAATTGCGTCCTTTATCACATTGACTTAACAATGGCCATGGCTCTCGTCTCCCCCCGTTCTAACAGTTGACATGGTATAGAGGTAAAAATCTCACAGACATCACAAACAGCGTTAATAATCAATGTTTTCCTCATTCATAATTCAATATGTATCCGGCCTAATTTCTGAACATAAATCATCAACCATTCAACAGATTTCTGCTGCAGTGAAACACACTGCTCTTAATGCAGCCTCACATCAGAACATGTTGGAGTCAAGATTAAACACATGATGACTTTTATTTCAGTATTTAGATTCTCTTTTCATTCATAATCTGTCAGCGAGGTCGAGTTGATTCATTGATTGATTTTTCTTTATTCATGTGCAGCCAATAACTCAGTTACACTTTCTTTTTCGCATAAACCACCCGACAAATAAAAGATAAGTTTCACTTCCTGTCTTTATTTCACCCACAGGTGCTCACCTTCTGCCTCCTCCTCTACTTCACCCTTCTCTTTGTTTAATTTAACAAACAAATTACCCTTTTATTACCTGAGTGGGTTTTCTTTTTAAGACTGTCAAAATTGTAGACACTTTTGATACTACGTGTTTTTAGACCATAATAATCTCTGAGTTAGGGCTTTCACACTTGCAGAAAACTCCTGAATTCTTCCATCATTCTTGCTGAGACCGTAGAGTCATTTGGGCGGGGATGTCAGGAAGACCTGGGTATCGTCAGCATAGCAGTGGCATGAGAAACCACGAGAGCGGATTATTGCGCTAAACTGGGTGGTGAATATGGAGAAGAGAAGGGGATCGAGCACAGAGCCCTGAGGCACCCCTGTGGATAAATATGTGTGCGTTTCGGACACGCAGAGAACGTGGCTAGGGGGATAGACGTGTTGTTTATGAATTGATTGAGTTTAGTTAAAGCGGCATCATCATGGCATGTCATATGAATTGCAAAGAACTAAATGACAAATGGCGATATATTATTTTCATGTCTTTTTATACAGATAGTGTGAATGAGGCGATAAACATCATACATCCCTTAAAAACACAACAATATAAGAAATTATTAAATGTGATTGAAGGAGCTGTTTCTCTGCGATCGGTGAGTTTTTTTAGTGACGTTGTAGAGGTAGACCTTTCAAAATGCAAACTTAGTTTTCATAATTTCTGTGTATGATTGTGACTCAGTGGAGCTGATAAAAAGCTTTTACAGCCTGCGTGTGTTTGCATATCTGATTCCAGGCCGGCTCAGAGGCCGCTGCTCGGCTCATACGTTTCTGTTTTGGTTGTTAATCTGCAGCGATCAGGTTACAGAGCCGTTTCTCTCTCTCTCTCACTCTCCCTCTCTCTCTACCTCT